ACCGTAGACATCACAATTGACAGAGACATGGACAGCCCCATGGACAGCACCAGAGACAGCACCACGGACAGAGACATAGGCATCACCGGGGAGAGCACCATGGACAGAGACATGGGTGGGCATCACCGGGGAGAGCACCACGGACAGAGACATGGGCAGCACCATAGACAGCACCAGAGAGAGCACCCTTGGACAGCACTAGATCCTAGGATCAAGACTGTGTTGTTGGGGACAAATGGACAGACATAGACAGCACCATGTACAGAGACATAGGGAGCACCGGGGGGAGCACCATGGACAGAGACATGGACAGCACCATGGACAGCACCAGAGAGAGCACCCTTGGACAGCACTAGATCCTAGGATCAAGACTGTGTTGTTGGGGACAAATGGACAGGTTGGACTGTCTTATTGTTTTGGCCAGACCCATAATTTAAAACTGTGTCTCTTTGGTGGAAGACAAACTCAGTGGCCACTAATCGATGGCCGACCGCAGCCCTGACTGGGCTTTATATTTATTAAGTTTCTACAAATGATGAATAAAGCTCCACACAGGTATTTATAGAACAGATATTTGAGCTGCAGAGGTTTTTTTATTTTATTTTTTTTATTTCCCCTGCTCTGATCCTTCAGACAGGAAAAACTATGCAACACAGCTCCCAGGAACGGGCGCTCAACTGTGCACCTTTATCAGTATGATTCATTGCTTCACGCCATTTTTACTGACAGCAGGGTTTTTTAATCTCTCTTTGAATGTAGCTGTTGGGAAGAATTATGAGAGAACGTGCGCACAATACCCACCGCTGCATTCACAAATGTCAAGGTCACCGTGATCTGAAGAATCCATTCTAGCATGTTGTCTAGGAAGAGAATTAAAAACATATTACTTAAGAGCCGGACTGTAGAACGGGAAGTGATTCAATTATTATTATTATTATTATTATTATTATTATTACTATTTGGTCAAAGCGTTTGAACATGAGTAAGTGAACTGCAGACCCAGAGCTGGCTGGATTACTTTCCAATTTAGAAATACTGTATAAAACTATTAATAGACAATTGAAGGTCAACCATCAAAATACTAAGATTAACGTTTTGAAAGAAAGCTAAAAGATTCTCTTATAAACAAACAGACACCTGGACCTTCATCATCGGAACTCTTTAAATGAAAGGAAATGTGACGAAGTCTGCAGAAACGTGTCGTCTGTCACGGGTCGTCACTCGACCAGAGCCAGAAAATTCAAATAGAGTTGATTTTAAAAGTTTATAAACCTGTTGCTGCTGCGTCTGTGATTCTACCTGTCTGACCTTTTTGACCTGTCCAGTCATGTGTAGCAGAAACACATTAGTCTGCCTGTGTGTGTGTGTGTGTGTGTGGCTGTAGCCTGGCTGTACTTGTGGGCACCGCCTGTAAGGAGTTAGGGGGACAGTGGAGGGCTGGGGGCTGGGGAGTATATGATGTCTATGGAGGGTGCTCACAACAACACAAAAACAGGTGTGTGTGTGTGTGTGTGTGTCAGCGTGACCCTGGCCGTGGACCAGCAGAATCCAGACTGTGTTCTGTCTGTGAAGACGTGCGTGTCGTTCCTGGCACTGAGATTGCAGGTTGTCAACAGGTATTTTCAGAGCAGATGATCAGCAGCAGCTCTGCAGATATTTTTCCACAGAGCTTTGTGGCCAGGACAGGATGGTGACACACAACAGGGAGGAACGACAGAGAGGAGGAAAATAGCTGCTCTCCTTATTATGCTTAAATTAGACGAAATGCTCTGAGAAAGACCAGCTGGCGGTACTTAAAGGTGCCAGCACAAAGATTTTCACACTGTTAGAAAATGCCCTCCCCCCTTCACCCCCCCTGTGCCTACACTATACCATCTGTCAGGTGGTCATATATGCGGTCTCACTCCCAGATCACATCAGAACCTGATCCAAAGGTTCCCGTGTTCCGAGTTAGCCTTCAGACGCTCCTGCTTTTTATGTTTTACCTCAAACGTGTCACAAAAGGTAATTAGTTCCAGTGGAAGTGAATTTACACAGGAGTTATATAAATAAAAAAGGAGGATTTTTTACACTCCTAATTAACCTGCAATCAATATTTACTGCGACCCCAATTATTTCCAAAAGCCTGCAATTAAATTCAGGTTTTTCACAGGAAAAAGTTTTCTGCAGCCTCTCAGTGAACTCCAACCAAACTGTTCTTCAGATCAGGTGTCACCAGCAGCCGCTGACGGACCTGGTGCTCATTTGGTACCTTGTCTCTGAAATGAACATTTATATGTGTTTTTATAAATTATGGCCGTGAAAGACGTGATAAAAAACGGATGCTGTCTTGGGCTGGGAAGGTTTCAGGTTCGACTTACCACTGAGGTCCTCCGAGCAAGGCACCGTCCCCACACACCAAGCTGCCCACTGTTCACTTTGGTGATGGGTTAAAAGCAGAGGTCACATTTGGTTGTGTGCAGTGGTCTCTCCACCAAGGCTAGGCTAATCCTGCTAACTCTGTTTTATTATTTCGTATTTATTTTTGTAATCTCACACCCACATTTAAGTAAAGATTCGATTTCAGTTCAGGGCCTAAACCTCGTATTTAATAAACAACGATGAGCACCCATGCATAGGTGACTGAGCCTCAGCAGTTATTCTTTATTACTGCTGATGCTTCTCCCATATGGATCAACAAATGAGCGTCTATTTGCCTTTAGGTAATGACTCCCAGCTGACTGCCTCTCGTCTGGCCCCGGGGCCTCGCGGCTGTCGTATCATCAGTCCGGTACCCGAGTCCTGAAACACATGCCAGTTGTGACAAACAACAAAGCTGGCATGCAGATAATTGCCTTTGTGGTCCCTGTGCATCGTCTTCCAGCGCTTGGCGCAAGAGGCTGCCTCTCTCCTCGCCTTATTCTTGAAGGCGCTGTTTTTCATCCCTCACACTGACAGCCACACTCTTGTCATTCCCGCCTCGTTCTCCTGGAGACTGTTCCTTTTTTTCCCCTCTCTCTCTCTCTCCTTCTTCAGTAATGTTTTTGGCAATTGCCTTTTCCCCTCCTCCCTCTCTCCTGACGTGATTAATTCAGTGACACGAATGAATACAGCCTGGCAAAGTAAACAGCCCTGTCCAATCTGAGTGCGTCTCCCAGCAGGCACTGAGGAGCTCCGACCAACTCCACTGCTATTGTCATCCCTGATGATGCTGATGAGGGTGAGGCCGATAGTGGCGGCACTGTGGATTTGGCCACTAGAGGGGGTGTCGTGACACCTGACTGTGTAAATGCTTCCTGTCTGGTTGTTTAGTCGCCAACGTCACCGTCAGCGTCCGGCCTCCCGGGCACAGAGACGAAGGGTCAGGGGGACGGCAGCTGAGGAGCTGACAGTTAGAGCGATGCTAGCTGCCCCGGCCTCTCCACTCACTCCCATGTGGCCCCTGGCTGCTCTTCCCTCTTCTCTTCTATTGCACTGTGTTTTTTAATGTGTGTTGACTGAGCCTCCCCCCCCACCAACCCCCACCCTGATTCTGCTGTATCACTCCACTGTCACCTGTATATATACATTTTCAAATGTTATTGTCAAAATGTATATTGCTAACATTTAAAAACTTATATTTGTACTTCTTATACCACGATGATGCGTTTCACCACGAATACTTTAAAAAATCCAGTGAAGGAAAACTGAACTTAAAGCCAAACTTTAGAAAAAATAACTTTTTTTGTGTTATCAAACCTAGAAAAGCGTTAAAAAAACTGGACTGTTTTGTAGAAATCCAACCATAAATTTGTAAGTATTGCTTTTGTACAGTACGTCTTTACTTTCTTCCTCAGGACTGAGTCAGACTGAGGTGTGAAGCACTTTTCTATAATTTGATGTTTTTCATCATGTGGAGACACAGACACTGGTCTCCTCTGTAGACGTTCTTAATTAAGCTTTTTTTTTTTTTTTTTTAAACCTTGTATTTCATGAATCATTGACAAGCGCAGCTTCTACTGTATAAAAATGCAGCTTTGGATTATTTCCCCCTCTGGGTGTTTCTGCTTTACTATTCTGACAGAGGAGCGGAGAAGTACAGTGTGTTCTTCATTGGTTTGAAGTGTCACTCAGAGCTGCAGGCTTTTTTGACAAGGGGAGCCGGCCCGTGCGGAAGCAACGTCTCAAGAGGAGCGAGCCTGCCAAGCTTGAAGCTCCTGACATCATCCCACCTCCCACCTCCCACCTCCACTGCACCACCTGTTCAGGCCTTTTTCCTGTTCAACACTTTGACTCCGTCCCTCCTACGGTGACCTCGGCCCGTCGCCCACTTCCCTCCGGCCTGATCCACTCGGATCGATGCCACCTCCTCCTCCTCCTTAGCACCACTGGGTCGGGGGAGGGGGGGGGCATTAATTACCCACCCAAAAGCTTGTTACCCAATCTCAGCTCTCCTTTTTCCTTCCTGCCTGTTCAATGACTATGCAATTGTAAATTCCTCCGGGTGGGGAGGGTGGGGGGTAATAACAGAGGGTGCCCATCCAAACGGACGATCGCCCGCTGATAGATGACTCTCTGGGCCGGAGGCGACGGAACTGACACGAGGGGGGCTGGGAGTGACTCCGCGGTGATTGACACACGGCTTTTGGCTGCGGGATTATGTGTGAGAGAAATAATTTATGACTTCTGGTTCCGGAGAGTAGACCAACGCCAGAAATGAGTAATGGCCCTCCTGAAGTTGGGCTCCTCTGATCGCAAACAATAGCCCCAGTCGTCAGTGGCCGTGGACCTGACAGAATTGATGGCGTTATGAGAAGGAGAAGCTGATGGAGTAAATGATGGAAATGTTGGGTTAATTAAATGTGGAGGCCCGGCTGTGAGCCACGTTTCTTCAGGATTATATTGTTTCTGATGTTCTTGATTCTGCCGACGGCCTCTTTTGGTGTCACCCTGTTTGTTCCTCAGCCTGTGATGTTTTGGTGAAAGCACCGCAACGGAAAAATAATTGTCTGTTCATCCGTCCTCTAACATTTATCACCGTTTTATCCCCCGTTGTCAAAGCCCTCCGTCCCCCGTCCCCGTCCTCCCATCAGCTGCTCCTCTTCACTCCCTCTTCTGCTTGTATTTCATTTTGTCTTTGTCCCTGTCCTACAACTTTTCCTCCCTTCTCTCCTTCTCCTCTCTCTCTCTTTTGACTTTCCACAATCACCTTCCTCCCCCCTCACCCACTATCTCACTCCTGTCCTCCCTTTTTCACTCTCTCCCCTTCCTGACTGTCCTTTTGCTCAGGGAGTGATTTGGTCTCATTACTCCAGTGGCCCTGATGGTGCTCTCTCTCTCTCTCTCTCCCTCCCACCCTCACCCCTCACCCTCTCACCCTCTCAGACCTTTTTTTTTTTGACAGCCAGCTCATGCAGCACTTGACTCTTTTCGTCTGTAGGCAGCGTGGCACCTTCTCCTCAGCCTCCTGACCTCTGAGAGGCTGAGGAGAAGATGGTCATCTTTGGGTCACGCCGAGCTTTCAAGGCCTGATGTGAGCTGTGGAACATGTTCATTATTCATCATGCAGAAAAGTGTGAAAGTGAAAGAGTCTTTTTTTTTTTCTTCTGCCTCTTCCTCCTTTTGCATGGTCGTGGAAGAGCAGGGGAGGAAACTGGTGTCAATCCCAGCTGTCAACAGGTGAGGGCAGGGTTTCCCCGCTTGGACAGTCCATCCCTGAGCCACATACAGAGACAACAAGAGATTGGGTCAAGATTAAAATCCTGTTCAAATGTCAATCCCTGGATCAGAACCATGATAATTGGTCAAGTTTTTTGCTTTAAAAATAAAATAAAATTCTATTTCTCACTGCCTCTGAATACACAGGTGAATAAACCAGGGATCACGAGACTCATGTACAACTGGTGATACATGTGCCATAGTTTGGGATGGATTCTGGGGTTGAATTTTTGTGAGGTATATATTGAGGTTTATTCAGACATCTAAAGTCAGTCGGTGCAAAGACTTTCATTTTCATCCAAGCCACAGTGTGCCAGAAAAACAAACAAACAAACACCAGAACCAAACTTTCTTCTATTATTTATCCCTAATGGTGCAGGTTTTGCACATTCAGTATTACCCGCAGTGCAGTGTACTCTGCTGTACTCTCACTACAGTACCTCTGGATCTTTGCTGTGATCGAGATGGTTTTCTGTCTGATGCTGTGTCCCATTTCCGTTCCCATATCCTCCCCCTGTTTCTTCCACATGACATGTTTTTGGTGGTGAAGGATCCGCAGTACAAACCCGTCTTCTACGTTTAACACCCGCAGCTTCATCATCAGCGCTTTAACTTGAGTCACTTCAAAACAACGCAATTTTCCAAACATGTGGAGCTCAGGCTGGATTTTCCATACCATCATTTGTCTTCCTGTGCCAACCACAGATGGTCTGTTTCATGTGTGATCGTGTTTCGCCCATAGCATGGACTGATAAGGAGGAAGCTGCATCCACTGATTATTTTTATTTATTTATATATATATATTTATATATACATGCCATTTCCAATCAGCTACACTTTTATAAAATGTATTTTTGTACCAAAAATTAAATACATATAAAAAAGACCCAAAATAATTGGGACACAGCCAGCGTTTTCACTGGGTCACATCCTTTATCTCTGTAATTAAGTTTTTTTTTTTTTTGTGACTCCTCTTCTCTTACATATATACTGTACATATATATTAAGACTAAGGTTCTGTAGCTTCCTCGTTCAGTCCAAATATATGGACCGTAGGGATCAGGCTAATTGGACATTGTAAATAAACCACTGTTAATCCACACAGCACATAAAATCCAGTTACACATACACTGTGTATGAGTGTGAACGGTTTTATGTTCAATTTCCAAACCCATCTGCAGATTCTATATTTTACCAGATTGTCATGGAATCGTGTTTGTGTTAAATTCTCTCATTAAAACCAGGCTGTCGTTAGTTTATTTATTTACCAGACATGAGGAGAATGAGGCTGAAGACTCTGGACAGAGGGACAAAAGACGAGTGAGAACCATCATCCTGAGGACAACGCCGACTGAAGTGGACGCCCTGGATAGAACAGCTCCCGACAACACAGCAGCAGATAAGAGAGAATCCCATTAAATGCTTCTCCATTAGTCGTCTCACTAATGAAACCATTTTCTAAAGATAACACAGGCCCAACACTGCTGTTTACAGAACACACGCCGCCATCGAATTAAACACGAGTGTGACTGAGATGGGCCAGAACACGGGTGATGTAAAAGCAATCAAGCCCACCTGTAATTAATTTGACCTCATGTCGTAACTTCATGGAGGAACCTGGATCAGCCTGGGTGCTTTACTGGATCTGTACGTTTACAATTTAATTTCAACTGCACAGCAAAACTTTACGCATTATTTTGTTTTTTCCCTGATGGCCACCCAGGGGCAAGGGCGGTGAGGGGAGCTTGCCTTACAGCAGGGAGGCAGGCAGGAAACCCAATCACATTTAAAACACAGTCTCGGGCCAAACAGGATTAACATTTATTGACCAATCAATTCCAAATGTAAATGAACCCCTGATTAGAATTGAAATTCAAGGGGGAAAAAACCGGTGAATTATTCACCTTAAGAAGAAAATGTACAGGGTTAGGCAGGTAGTACTGTGATGCACAGATAGGGGCAGCGTTGTGCGCTGAGGTCTATGATTGGCTGTGCTGAGCCCCATAGACACAATGCACACAAGTGCACGCAGCTGCATCCTGTTCTAGGTCTAAGGACAAGGAGCGTCACCGGAAACCGTGTAACGATCTTTTATATAACAGTCGAATACTCATTAAATAAGTAAATTAATAAATAAAATAATTGAAACATTCCACGAGAAAAATGAGTGTTTGACCGAGGAAGACCAAACTTTTGGGCTGAAGAATCTGCTGCAGCGCGACGACGGAAACGCTAAGGTAAACGGCTCGTTCCAAACATGGCGGCTATTTTCAAATTGTTACGACGTCTGCAGCAAGGACAGGACACTGTGGCATGAAAAACTCAAACAACTTGTATTGCATTTGCATAACATTCACCAAAAAGGGGCGTTCAAGTGTCATTTTAAATGAAGAGCCGGGACTGTTTGGACAGGATTAATCAAAAAAAACAAAAAAAAAAAACAACTTATTTAAGACACAATGGAACTGATATAACACACAGACAAGGTCGAAAATGTGTAAATGGTCAAAATTCAAATATAAGCTTCTATTTTGGTCAATATATTTGTACATTAGACTGTACATTGCCAGGTGACGCAATTAGAAGTGCGTCACAATTAATTAACTTCACAGTGCGTCAGTGGTGCACAAAAGACGACAGAAAAACCCCAAAACCTTTCCTTATGTTAGGTAAAACTACTTATTGTTGTAAATAATTTTTATTCTGGTAAAAGTAGCAAGAATATTTGGTCATTTTATCATTTATTTATCTTCTCCAGGTCTGGACCAAACTCCAACTGCCATTGGAAATGGACGGCGTTCTTCCGGACTGAAAGGTACACAAAACTTTACAATACATTTTATTTTTGTATTTTATATTTTTGTATTTTGCACATTTTCTATAATGAGAACATGTTCCCTGGTGTAGACATGAGTTTGTCTGTAGTTGGTTCACGCAGGAGTCAAACATGAGTTTGTCTGTAGTTGGTTCACGAAACATGAGTTTGTCTGTAGCTGGTTCACGTGGCGCCCACTGCTCTGCTCTGAACTGTAAACATCGACCTGAAGTTTTCTGTTTGTCTACTTCACTTGGTCCAGGCCTCCTGAGACTCCAGGGACACCAGGGAGCTGCCGATCCTACCCAACAGGACGAAGACCACCGAGGGACACCAGAAAAGCCAAAAAAGGTCAGCCTCATTTACTACATTCTGGACCTCAGGGTCAGACCTGCTCAGTTTGTCTGGTCCAACATAGGGCCTGGAGAACCAGATGTGGACTTGGCTAGATTTGACATTCAGAATACAGAGGCTAACGCCTCTGACTGTGGGCCACATCCTTCTGGTCTGGCCCAACATATGGACTAACCCTGTAAAATAAGCAGATAATGTTTTTCTTTTTTCTTCCTGGCCCATGTACTGGTGCACGTGTTGAACCGTTTGTGGAGCAGGTGTGCTCTGCAGCTTAACAACAATGTATTTTTTCAATTATTCACAAAAACCAAAACTAAATCTATGGAGTTGTTTTTCTGTTGTGCAGATTTGGATAAAGCAACAGATGCCAAATCAAACCCACTTCACAGTTTTTTTTCCAGCCAATTAAAGGCAACAAATGAGAAACCTTAGGTTTGGTTTGTTTACTCTGGTTCTCCTGGAGCTCCGTGTCGAAGCCCAATTTATTCTAATTTTCTCCAGCTGTGAGCGGCTCATCTTTCCTACGTGCATGTGATTGTGGGCTGCTGGGTCCATTAACAGCCGGCTCAGACCTCACACTGATTTAATACTGTATGCATACTGATAAATTTCAGGATAAATAATTCAGACGTGCTTAGAGCGAAAGCGGTACAAATGCAAAACTTTGTTAGATTTGCTCATGTCACAGAAATGGGACGCGACTCCCGAGACAAATGGTGATTAAAATGTGTCACGTGACGAGATTTATACGGTCTGTTTAAAGTTTGTCTTACAAATCACGCCGAACATTCATTGGAAATTCTTTCTTTTCCTAAAGTAACCCCAAGCTGACACCGACTCCATGGGTGTCGGCCATAGTCCAAAAGTTCAGTCAAACTCAGGAGTTTGTTTTTTTTAAAAAGAACACAATTTTTTTTTCAGTTTTACAAAAACTGAAAAGAAAATTGACAATTAACACAAGTTTATAAAAATAAATTTTTCCATTTTTAAGTTAGCTAGCTCCATTACTACCTCAATAAAAACCACTGAGGCTGAGATTAATAATAATAATAATTTGAACTTTATTTGTGAAATTCTTATGTTAACAGCAGATTTGCTGTTGACAGGCTGCCCACAGCAGGCGCCAAGCATGTGGTTCCTCTGGGAATTGAACCCATGACTCACTGCTCTCTCTCTAACAGCTACACTACGAAACCCAGAGTAATGTGGGCCATGGCTGCGAGAACATTTGAAAAGAAACTATTTGACTTAAACTTGTTTAACAGTCTGGGTACTGCTGCTGCTGCTGCTGCTGCTGCTGCTGCTGCTGCTGCTGCTGCTGCTGCTGCTGCTGA